CGCTACAATGCGCATCCGTGATCCATGCAGATCCCACTCTCGAATGCCTAACCTCTGAACCTTTAGATGCAGACTCAACGGTCTAGAGGTTAAGAGTTTGCGCACGGTATCACAGGTTCTGAATGTGATTCAATTCCCGCGTGTGGGGTTTGTGGGTGCTCACTGTTGAGGGAGTCCCGTACTGGGATAAAACGGCCATCATAAACTCCTAGGCTTCTAATGATGCTCTTGCTAAGATCAATTTGGGTTTTCAACTATGAAAATAGCACAATCTTCACAAATCTCCCTCCTTAAATGCTAATTTGTTCAATATCTTTTTCAATGAACAAAAAGCTTATTGTTTCTTCATAAACTTATCTGTCTAAAAACTACAGTACCTTTTCTGTGCAATTTTTTCGAGGATATACAAGCTAAGGTAATCAATCTGTTAAGTTTTAAATAACGCATTAAAGAATAAAACTACGAAAAAAAAGTCAATCATTCGCCTAACTGATACACATTTTCTGTGCAGATAGTTCATTTCACACATTTGAAATCATCAACCAATCATTGTTAGACCACCATTAGAAACATGGAAGCATTTGAAGGCCGTTTCGTCCTGGTATGGGGCTCATCGGCAGTGCACATCCACGACTCCTGCACCTCGCAGGTTTCGAACCCGGGACTTTCGGTATTGCGCGCGAACGCCTAACCTCTGGACCACTGAGCTGGTTGTCATTCAATGATGTTAATGTCTAACTTTGATTGTTCTAGGGATTGCTAGTATGTGTGATTACTTTGTTTTTATTTAAGTAATAAATTACAATTACTTCTCATTGTTCTGTCAAAATTAAAAACTTATAATCAAAGTTTTTCTATCTCTGTCTCTCTTTCTCGCTCCAAGTATGAATTTAATTGGCAGAAATAAATTAACACAATCGTTATAATAATAATAATAATAATAATGTTATTCTTCCTGTTGTTATAGTCAGAATGGTTGAAAAATTTCCCAGATGATAAACAATTAGCTATATTCAATTTGAAACAATTCAATATTTCTGGCCAACTAGCATCAGATTCATCATGTCAATTTATTGCTAAACTAAATGATATCAAATTACAAGATAGTCGACCTGGTTGGGAGAAACAAATTACCAAGTAAGCAATTTCATCATCATCGTTATCATGAACATGATATTGATTGAGTCAATCTCTTTTTTAATTTAAAAGAAAAGATTTTACCTCGTAACATTTATGTTACGCACGCACGTAAGCACGTCATTGGATATGCTTGTACTATTACGAGTTTACCTTAGTCGGTAAACGAGAACGAGGATCGAGGGTCTGGCGACACGACATGCTACTCTAATCTGATTGTCCCAACCCCACTCTCCATTGAGTAAAAGAATAAGACTTGATATGTAGTAGAACCTGTATTCTAAAAACATCCGGAAAGTACGAGGTCTGAGTCCAGAAGAAAATCGGGACCCCAGACTAGGGATCCGTGTCCGGGTCATAAAACTTTAAAGATAATGCGTATTCATACTGTTAGATTGAATAGGAAACAACATTGAAGTCTGTGAGCAGACTCGAGAAAACCAGGCTGGTTTTCGACCTGGACGTGGTTGTATAGACCACATTTTCACACTACGACAGGTCCTGGAACACAGACACACATTTAGACGTCCGACAATAGTCGTGTTCCTGGACCTTAAGGCGGCATTCGACTCAGTGGATCGTGAGGTTCTGTGGCAGTGTCTGTCATTGAAAGGTGTACCAAAGAAGTACATTAACCTTATACAAGCACTCTACTCGAACACCACTGGTCGGGTGAGAGCATATGGCGAACTGTCATCTGAATTCTCTACATCAAGTGGTGTCCGTCAGGGCTGCCCACTCTCTCCATTCTTGTTCAACTTTGTCGTAGACATCCTCTTAGAGTTAACATTAAGCTCGTCAGATTTTTCAGGGGTTGACCTTCTACCAGGAAAGTCGCTTACTGATCTAGAATATGCCGATGACATAGTTCTATTCGGTGAAGACGCTGACAAAATGCAGAGTCTTCTGACTACCATAAACAACAATGCGAGCATGTTCGTGATACGGTTTTCCCCCTCGAAATGCAAAATGTTGCTTCAAGACTGGGTTGCTTCGGCACCTGAACTAGTGATAGGGAGTGAAGTAGTCGAGCGTGTAGATCACTTCACTTATCTGGGGAGTCTCATCAGTGCTGACGGTCTGGTGACTGACGAAATCTCAGCTCGGATACAGAAAGCTCGATTGGCTTTTGCCAACCTGCGTCACTTATGGCGTAGGCGTGATATCCGTTCGCTAACCAAAGGACGGGTGTACTGCGCAGCAGTTCGTTCCGTTCTCTTATATGGCTGTGAAACATGGCCGTTAAGAGTAGAAGATGTTCGTAGGTTACTAGTATTCGATCATAGATGTTTAAGAAGCATTGCTCGTATATCGTGGGACAGCCGAGTAAGCAATGCTGTCGTTAGGAAACGAGTACTAGGTAAGGATGGCAGATCAATCGATGAAGTGGTGAAACTTCATCATTTGAGGTGGTTGGGACATGTGTTACGTATGCCTAACCACCGACTGCCTCGACGAGCTATGTTTTGTGGTGTAGGAGTAGGTTGGAAGAAAGCTAGGGGCGGCCAGACCAAATCATGGCAGAAATCCATGAAGTCACTGACAAGTGGACTGAGTCATGTTGGTAGATGTAGACTACCCGGTTGGGGTCCGCGAGACGAAAATCACCAATGGTTAGAGACCTTGAACGACATGGCTCAAAATCGTTTGCAATGGCGCAGGTGCATCCACTCTTTGAGCTCTCTCAAATCCTAATCTTCTGGATTAGCCAGCACCTCTACTTTTGTCTTTCTAACCTTATCTCACTGAATTATATTTTTTGAATAATATCTTAAACCCTAGTCTTCTTTATTATAACATTAATACCTCTACCATCTTTATCACCATGGGATTTGATTTGACATTTGCGTCTCTGTGCTAATAATGTGGTATGGCAACATGAACTTATGTACATCGTACGAAGTTCTACGTTGCAACTGACTGACTGACTCTGTGACATTGATAGTTAGGATGACCAATGGAATTGACCAACAGAATTAGACTTCCAAAAATAATTCTCTTAGGATATTTGATGAATATCCTAACAAATTATCCATCATAAATAGATGTCATTACAAAGGATTATAAGCAAGCATGTATAAAATGCCGGAAAGTTCAAATACATCGTCACACTAGTTCCGCAGTAGGTTCTTTCCTTGACCGGGACATCAGATTGGTGTATATAAAATCGATATTGCGGGAACACTACCGATTTCAAACGGCTTCAGTTATATTTTTACCTTTATTGACAGATTCATGCGACGACTTATTGCGATGCCCATAAAAGATATTTCAGTAGAAACTATAGCGAAAACAGTTGATCATTGGAGCGCCTGCTAATATTACAACCGATAGGGGAGATCAGTTCGAAAGTTGTCTCTTCCAACAACTCACAGAACTTCTCGAAATCAAGCATATTCACAAAACATCCTACCATTCGCCAACGAATGGAATGACAGACAAACTACATTGTCAACTTAAAGCCTTCTTTACGACTGTTATTAACAACAACTATTGGGTTATAATTCAAAAATTGCATATTAATATCACGTAGCTTATTCAAACAATGAGAAAGCACTATACGGCTGCTCTAGATCCTCCTTATAAGAGGTCAGCGGATACCTATGAGTTTACCAGTTGTCATACAACTAATAATTCACCTTCAGAACATTGAATTGTTATCTGTCAGTTTATATCTCCAACTTTTATCCATCGCCCATATTATGAAACTAACGTGTGTGATTTAATTATTCAATAGTCAAAGTTTGTGATTGATTGTTATTATGTTGATCCAATGGTATTCTGTCCATTGTTGGGAGAGCTCATATTATCGAGTGCTTAATTATTTTTTAGTAAACTCTTTCATTAACGTCATATTTATTGTTTTTTTCTTTTTTTGCGTATTTTTTTCGTGAACTCTTGATAGGTTTAAGTTTTGTAATGCGTGCGTTTCATCCTATATAGTACTCGTCATTTGTAGAATAAACATCAATGCATCGATGAAGGTGTATCTAACTGATTAGTCCTAAATTTGAAGAAACATACATTCTAGTTTCTACTACTAACCACATTTCCTATTATCTTATGTCATAATTGGCTTTGTCTAAGCAATGCGCACAGAAACCAACGAATACTAATTAAAATTCATTCAAATTATGATTAGCGATTTTTTACCGGCTTAGTTTGCTACAGGATAGGGTCTCTAACCTCATGCCCAACCCTTCTCCTTTATTCGGTCTTTGTGCCCGATAGTAACTCCAGAGGAGAGTTTTTGCAATCAGTTTAAGTATTTTAAAGGTTATTCCTCCTGCTTGTTATATGTAATCATTGAATTCCTTTCAAAATTCTGAGTTTGATTTCATTGTCTCTCATATTACACTTTGATGTAAGAAAAAAAAGTGTGTTTAAAACACACTTGAATTCTATGTATTCTTTTTTCTCTCTGTTTCTTATTTTAACATGACACATCTATCATTATTTTGGTATAAATGATCACCTTTTTTTTTATTTTTGTACTTCTCTATTTTCAGAGGTCAAGTTTTAAGGTAGGTCATTTTATGTATGTATGTATTGTGTGTGTGTGTGTGTGTGTGTGTGTGTGTAGGTCATTGATTTTGTGTTGCACGAAAAATATCATCAACCGAAAAAATTAATAATAATCACAAATTATTACACTTGCATATATTTATTTATGCATACATACATATATTACTCATTGTAAATGGTTTTCATATTTATTTGACATACCGTGTACCAACTACCACGTTTTACGTTTTGTTTTCTAGATTTTGAATGTGTATGTGGCGTGGAATGCTTGACTTTGTAGTATATATCTATCTGTGTTGTTTGATGTTTGTGTCTATTTGTGTGATTTGAAAAAAAAGATGAGTATTTCTAACTCCAGTGGATGTGTTTGTTATGTTCGTCACTAAGTATGCTTGTGAGGCTATTACGAGTTTACCTTAGTCGATAAACGCGAACGAGACTTTTACCAGAGCCCAGGTAGGCTACCTTGAATCCTAAACTGAAGTAAAAAGGCTTTGTAAGCGTAGAAAGTATATTCTGCAAACACCCGGCAATCACATAATACAATCAAGCACACAACTCTCGTTTATTTATACATCATAGAAACGTCCTGGGGACAGTTAAGAAAATAGTACACTAAAATACACAGCAGCCAATCATGGTGGGAAACGAAATCTCATGGTCAACTGATCAGCCCATGCTGGCAAACGTGAAATCCAAAATAAGGCATTTAACACGCGAGTTTTGGGGATCTAACATCCCCAACAGTGTTTTATCAGTGTTATAAGCTGAATAGTTCGTTTGTAGTTGCATGCATGTATGTGTTTCTTCCAATAGACTTGAAGCCGTTCGACTGAAATTTCCGAGTCTTCAATGTTAGTTTTGATAATCAACTGACTAGTTACATATTTCTGAATTTTTCGTGAGAAATTCTGACTTATTTAGTTCAATAATGTTGGTAAGTGGGATTGAATGATCATCACGCGCCATATCATAAAGTCGTTGATGTTAAATCTGTTGTAGTATACGATGTCAACTCAGTATTTCTTTTAAGGTTCTGAGTTCACCACTAAAACCTGGAATTCTTGTATTCTATTTCTAATATGATTTTGATTACGCACTACTAAGTTGTCTCCTATTATAGCGTTCAGTGCTCTTTCTTGTTTAGAATTGATTGGTACACCAAATTAAACCAGTCTATGATGAATCCGACTTAAAATGCTAAAAGTATTTCTTTTTTCAAACCGTTTCAACTGCTTTCTCAAAAAATATTCGAACTTTCCTGACTATCAATCAGTCAAGACGAATGAACACGTCTTTTTATATATTCTCTTGTCCCCAATACATAAATAAAACAATTACGAAATGTCTACTATAAGATATGAAATCTTGTTTACTCATGTTGCTTGTTCTATATAGTCAAAGTTAATTAAACAAATATAGCCTAAATTGTGAATGATAAATATAACAATATCTATGAATTATATATGATTAAGATTATAATAAGTGTAGACATAGATGAATGATAACAGTTCATATTTTGTGTACAAAATGATTTACACAATATTGAATTTGTGTACAAATACAAATATTTATTTATCAAAACGAATTGAAATAATCTGATCGAACTGGACAACTGTATAATATAATCGCAAAACCGATTGCCAATACGCATTTATTAACGCTGAGCTCAGTAGGAAAATTGGAAAACTTCACTTTTAACTGACGTTAGTGTTGACGATGTTGTTCAGAAGAACGATGAAAACTCCACAATCAAAATATTCAGCTGATAGAACGAAACCCCATCGTAATCATGGAGTCTAGAACAGTAGTTTTGTCCTAATATATGATTTTTCATTAGTACATACCACTCACTCACTGATCAGGTCGCCTCCGTGTTCTCTCAACTGCTAATCTTCTGAATTCCTCATAACCGGTTTTTCTCTTCTTTTTAATTGATTCCTCTGGGGTATACATGTCGAATGATATAGTTGATCATTAATCTTTTTCATTTCTTCTAATACCTCTACTACCACTACTACTATTTCGTCTCTGTGCTAATGTGGTATGGCAAGTTGCACTGATTCACGTACGTACTAAGTTCTACGTTGTGACTGACTGATCGTCCGTGGGAATTTAAGGTCTTATATTCAATTCTTGACGAGGTCATATATACGTACTGATATGGAGTCTCATTCTTGACCGCAAAAAAACATCTTGATTCTGATTGTGTCTCTTAATGCGATCATTGCATCCATCTTTATTGATCATTGATTGATTTGTTGTACTCTTTCTTATTATTAAATGTTGTCTGTGATTTCATTCACCTCTTCACCTGCTCTGTATCAATTAAAATTGTCCATTTTTTTCTTTCTGTTCATAAAATGCCAGAATTTTAGATCATCCTACCACTACTACTACTACTAACACTACTACCAATGATAATCGTCATGATGAATTAATCTATGTGGAATTTAATCAAGATGCATTATTAAATAAAAAAAGTAAAATTGAATATTTTTTTTATCTGTTGTTAAAATTCGACAATGTATTGATTTTTCCACCGTCATGACATGTAATCATTGATTTGTGTAGGTTAAAGAGTCTATCACTAACTTCATGTACTTGGGTGTTTTTCATACAGTTAGATTACACAAAATATCACATGTTTGTGCAATGTAATTCAAAGTCCCACATTCTTGATTGAATATTTACTTGGTGCAAAGTGAATTCCTTTAGATTTTCAAATTTCATTAGGAATTTAACGTTCAATAATGAATGTTTGCTTCGAAACAATTTATCAGTTAGAAAATCCAATAAAGAAATAATGTGTAGTTTACAAACGCGAAAATCACATGGTTATCTTATTATAAAAAAAGATGAAAAGTTTTATCATAATTTCTTCCTGTATATATGGGTTAGGTTGGGAATTGTGATAGCTTAGTGCTTTCTTTTCCCATGTGGAAATTTAATCACTGATCTGCCTTTTTGCGGTTACTCTGTATTGTTTGTTTCATTATCTGCACCTTTGTCAAAACAATCTACTGATCCGCATTCAAAATTGATGACCTTTTATCAGTGATCAATGTCATATGTATGAAATCCTTCCTAGTTTTGATTGATTGCTATTTGACCAAGTTGCAGTGCGTCTACTCATCTAAGTGACTCGACATCACGTACTTGATTGTAGTTGTTAGAGAAATCACGTCTAAGTTTCGTACTATATGTCGTCAGCAATATGTACCTATATGTACCTAAAGGAGTTGATACCCCGCTGACAAATTCGATCTTTTGTCACCCATCTTGACATTTAAACAGGTTATCACTGAGCTATCTGGGGCGCAACTGGTCTGTAAGACTGAGATGTCTTGACAATTTATTGAATTACATCAACTGAAAAAGTACACCTTGCTGACATATTCCACATATAGCATGAAACTCTAGTTTATAAAGTTTCCTTTTAACTATTCTTAAATCATCAGCTTTCTTATAACGCTTTCACCCCCCCCCATTATTTCTCTCTCTCTTACACAGTTCAAGTTAGTCTACGAAGTATACATTTATGTGCTTCAATGGATTATTTAATGTCTTTGCTGGATTTTCAAATGAAAAGTACACCTGCTTCAAAGAATAATGATTCACCAAATAATGTCACATCTATTACGACGGATAAATCGAAACAAAAGCAAATAAACAACGGTTCTTCCATTGCAAACAACAACAGTAAGTACCAGTTTTCTTTTTTTTTTATGTTTAAACCAAAAAAAGGAAACATTTGATATCGTTTAATTGTTGAATTATTAGTGATAATCAACAAGGAAACCTTCATTGTGGATTACTTAATCATATGAACTTGCATGATTTGCACTACATATATATAGTCAGTCAGATGCAACGTAGAACTTTGTACGTAAGTACATCAGTTCATGTTGCCATACCACATCAGCACAGAGATATAATTGTCAATTCAAATCCAATAGTAGAAGAGGTAGTAAAGGTATTAGAAGTAATCGTAGAGATTAGGATTAGATATTATTCAAGAAGTATGATTCAGTGAGATAGGTTTAGAAAGATAAAGTTAGAGGTGTTGAAGAATCCAGAAGATTAGGATTTGAGAGAACACAAAGAATAAATGCACCGGCGCCATTGCGAACGGTTTTGAGCCATGTCATTCAGGGTATCTAACCATCGATTATTATCATCTCGCGGATACCAACCAGGTAGTCGACAACTACCGACATGACTCAGTCCACTTGTCATTAACTTTATGGATTCCTGCCATGTTTTGATTTGGCCGCCCCTAACTTTCTTCCAACCTATTCCTACATTACAAAACATAGCTAGTCGAGGCAGTCGGTGGTTAGGCATACGCAACACATGTCCCAACCACCTCAACTGATGAAGTGTCACTACTGCGTCTATTGATCTGCCATTCTTACCTAGCAGCCGATTCCTAATAACAGCGTTGCTTACTCGGGTGTCCCACGATATACGAGCAATGCTTCGGAGACACCTATGATCGAAAACCAATAACCTACGAATATCTTCTACTCTGACTGGCCATGTTTCACAGCCATATCGAATATTATAATGTGAATAATACCTGTGTTGAGGATGTTAGATCCCAAGAACTCGCTTGATAAATATCTTTATTTTGGATTTATTTCATGGACCGATCAGTTGACCTTGAGATCACACTTCCCACCAGGAAAATCCTTGGCTGTAATTGGTTACTGTGTCATTTTAGTGCGATATTTTTGTGACTGTCCCAAAGACGTCTCTATGGTGTATAAATAAACGCAATTTGAGCGCTTGGATTCATTGTATGCTGGCTTGGTGTTTGTAGAATACAATTTCTACACTATATCAAGACTTCTTGCTGATACATTTTGGTCAAGGGATCAGAGTAGCCTACCTGGACGCTGGTTCATTGTTTTGTTCTCGTTATTCGACTAAGGTGAACTCGTAATAGTTTAAAGCATACCTAGAGACGAGCGTAACAACCTGACGAGATTTTCCACCGATATGACTGAACAATGGCTTTGTAGTTAAGGACGTTGCACTTTAACCCACTGAGTTGTAGACTTGAGTCCTATTCCACATAGTTTGGTTCAAATAGTGGCTCCCAAACGCTTCGGTACGATCAAGAGTAGAAAGAGTCAGCTGTCTCTTTCTTGAAACTTTCTTATATGGCCATGGTTATATAGTCACTGTTAAGGAAGTCGTACTACGTGGCGGAACTTTAACAGGGGGATGGTAAGCATGAAGGACCTGCCTAGGGCAGTTAAGAAATTCTAATTACTTATCAGTGGTATATATGGACTCTAAATTCCTGATGAAACAAATATCGTATGAACCGATTGTTAGTCACTGTCTACCAAGAG